TCTGGTCCTTTTTCTTTCTGAAAAATACCGACCCGAGCGTTCAGGACAAGGTTACTTCAATGATTTTCTTTTTCCAATAATTTCACTCACCAGTACTTAAAATATGAGTTAACAGTTCGGTTGCTCAAGTGCGGGGGTGTGTTGTGCAATCGAGCTCTGTATTGTGCTTCCGCTTTAAAACTGCACTCGTGGACCAATAGTGCAATCGTCCGGCTGCATTGTCATAACATGATTATACCAAAACATTTACTCCCCCTCCTGTGAATTGCACAACCACACGGAAATATAGCTCATGGTAAACTGCATTAGGTTAGCCTGGAACCATCAGTGAGGTTAATTCCTTCAGTGTTGTACGTAATCTTTGTGGAAAACGATTTCCAGTTAACACCCTATGCCAATGTCTTGGACGATCTTGTTCGGTCAGCTATCACCTGTTGAAAGAAATTAATGAAAATAAGCATTGAGTGATGACTTACCAATATCTATTTATAGCCTATGTTCCTTGGATCGATTCTAGCAGCAAACGTCTTCCACTTATGGCCCCATAGCCTGTCTTTTTCGAACGCATGCTTGATGGGCTGCAAGAAACAGCGAAAACGATCTTATACTTCCAGGGAAATTTTGTGTTGTCATTCAGACATTGCTTATGGTAAGAGACATATAGATAGCACAAAGTCTTCATTAAGATCATAAACGTGCAAAGAAACCGGAACTATTCACGTCCACATGTCCGACAAAATCGTTCAGTCCTAGAGGAACGCATAAGTGGAAACCAACCCATTTTGAACGACCGTGGATTCAACAACAACCCGCATTGGAATTAGTAGCAACATTCAAATGGATCGTAAATCCACTTCCATCCCAACACGTGGAATATCACCCGTGTGTCTGCCTGTTGCAGTGTTTATCTGGCTCTATCCTTGCCCCCACTCCTTCCTCCTACACACACACACACACACACACACACACACACCAGACACTCCATAAAATCCCCGAAACTACGACTCTATACCACCCCCACCACCACCACCACGAAAGAGTAAAGAAAATGGTACCCTGATATTCTGAATACGAACAACCCTCTCGCGCGCGCTGGCATTTCAACTCCGATCTGCGACTCACAATCACAGCGGGTGTTTTGCCCAGCATAATAGCCCTACCGTCCACCACCCCCCCACTCCCGCCCCGTTTGTCCGTCGTGAATCCATAATCCGTCTAAATAGAGTGAGTGAGTCGAGAGGTCAACGGGTCCACTTTGGATGGATCCCAATAGTTCGATCATTGTATCAGTTCCAAATAGTCCACGGGTCGCACACTAAGGTGAGAGAACTGGAGGACGAGATTGAGTGTGTGTGTGTGTGTGTGTGTGTGTGTGCGGGGCGCATGCAGTGAATACAGAGGATTGGATTGTGCTTACCGGATGTGTATGCAGGCGGGTCGTTGTAGACGTCTGGTCTGTTGTTGTTGTTTTAATGACACAACTGTCACCAACATTATTTGAGTAAGGGTACTGGATCACTCATTGCCTCCGTGATATAGTATACTGATCCGCGGACTGTGTTTGTTTGCTAACAAAATATTGATATAACCCGTGTTTGCATGTGTGTAGTGTTTGTGCGTCTACAAATGCACGCATAAACTGTCCATCTCATCTGCTAACCAGTGATCCGTTATCCAAAGTGAATCGCATCAGATAATTCACAAGCAGTAGATTTTGATGATGATTTTCACATTCCGTGTCGTTGTTTGCAAAGTGAGGCACTTGCCATCCTATCCGTCTCTTTCTCTCGTTTATTCTCATCTGGTATGTTTTTAAGCGCTCTGAGTTGCAACCAGACTCCCTCTCTGTCGTAGTTGACTCGTATCCGAACTACTGGAGAGCTAGGTCTATCTGATCGCTTCAGTTATAACGTCATCTCTTCCGTCATTCGCTTGTTGTTTGAGCTATCATATTATATTATTAGGTTTCCAACACGCTGTAACTGAAACTCGTGATAACCAAGATTGAATTAGTCAATGCAATAGAGTGATTGAATACAAATTGGCGGCATGTTTCCGGATGGCAGGTTTTCCGAATCTATGATGTGAAAGTGAATCTGTGTAAGAGTAGTCGAACCACAGATCTCATCCAAGTGGAACTCGCAACGCAATACATATTAACACACACATGTCATGCACATCACGTCACGTGTCCAACAGGGTTGTAATAGATTTACACCTATACCTATGTACGGAAAAGTCAAATTCACGGAGACTGTTCTCTCCGGTTGATAAAATTGGAAACTACACGTACTCGGACACATTACCGATTTGTCTTGAAGTAAGTGATATTCAAAAAGGTTGTTGTTATCATTCGTTCAAATCACCAACCGGCCACAATACTGTTCTGCCTTATTCCCGTACAATGATCATCTTCTGTACCATCGAATTTCGCATTTAATTTTAAATTTAAACGACTTTTCTCTCCGTGAAGTTAAATCTAATTCCTGGAGGAATTGATTCATAATCCTCGATTTAACCGTCCCCGCACCAATTCGCCTAGCCTTTAGATAGCTAAGCGCTACCTGCAGGACAACAGGATGAAGACGAGGGTTGCAGTTCATGGCGCGCCGGATTCACGTATGACATGATACTTTTTGTAGATATTTATGGTTCTTTGTTGGAGGAATAGCTTGCCAGGTAAAAATTCTTCAAATCACAGTTGATCGTTCGCGACAGTTAATTACCACCCACCTATTCCCATCTCATCACCGCTGTGGCTTTACTCCTTCTCAACATCTGGAGACGCGTTAGATAGCTTATATCTGGCTAGTGACAGAAGACTTATTGCTCTCTAACCAGTGGCCTAAATATTTTGAGACGGGAGAGGGTAAAGACCCAATAACAAATTGGTCTTTATCTAATCAGCTTGTGTGTGATATGAGAGTTCGGAAGCCTTGGGGGGGTACTTAAAATATCACCATGTTCGGATCGGCAAGTGATCGAAATCTCCATCTCAAACAACTTTGATGTCTCTAGTGGTGGTGGTGATGGTAGTGGTGACAATAAACCGATGTGAAGTGATCGCAATCACGTTCTAATCTAAACTAGCAATGCAACCCTACAGTTAGGTTTAACCAATGTAAGCATTACCACACCAAAGAGAGGCCACATTTGCGACGAACGGTACATCACACAGTCTCGATATTATCATATTCCAACTGACACAATCATCCTGTGTTCTTCCGTCGATTTATGGATAGTATTATTATTACTGTTTATGCATGACTCGTGGGTTTTCACTTCTTTCCGCATGGAGACCGTGAAAAACGCCGACACTGACAGTGTGTGGGCATTTTGGTTGAGCTGAAATTTACTTCGTATTCCCTCCCGAAATCATCTGCCTCTGTTGAAGCTATCCGACCACTTCCTCTTGGATCGTTCATTCCTACACCTTTACCTCCCCCCTGTAGTGTTCTTCTATCGCCTTTGGTTCGACCATGCTACAATAACCAATCGTATTTGTGTGCGCTGCAAGCAAGGCCGCACGCGTCAATAAAGGCCTGATTCTTGCGTACGCGTACGACAGGCGAAAATGTGATTGGTTCGCGTAACGCATGCGCGTGTCACACCGCACGCGTTTCAATGCCTCCGGGACCCACGTGTGAAACCTGATTGGCCCACATGAACTGCTACCTCGTACACCAAATTGATCGGTCCAAATAAATAGGCCGACACGTGCCTCGGGTTATTACTGATCATTACTGTCGTTCATCATTATGAACTCGCCACATGTGAACCCAATGTTTCACGTGACCAACCCCATGTACACCTATCGGGTACCACCATTACATTCCAATCCACCTGCACCGTATCATATGGAGTCTAATTCTATCCGACTGCGCAGCATGCCCTTACAACAGCAACAACAACCACAGCCACCACCCACAGAAACTTGTGCAGTCACTGTAAACACTCCAATTCACCGCAGAGGAAGAAAATCAACTGTACCACCTGAACAACGTGAACAAATTCGTCGGGTAAGCATACTGCACTTGTTATCGACTATTTCACAATGAATGATTGCGATATTCCAGTGTAACTGATATGCTAATCGATCGCTCTCCGCCCTGTTCATTCCAGCTTAAAAAGCAAAACATGGAACGTCGACGACGTGCGTGCATTTCTGACAAGATGAACGCGTTGCATTCTATGGCCATGTCCGTTGTTGGAATCGATGTAAGTACCTTTTCGGTGGCTTTATGTTTTCTCTGTTCTGCTTGATCAAGTCTCCAGATGTTTGTAGTTTTAATCGTGGGTAGATGTACATCATCAAATCCTCAATTACTCACATGAAATAAGTAGTCAGGTTGTAAGTGTTTCCAACCGAGACACTACCCTGGATTTTAGTGCTGAGAAGAGCAGGGTCTGTGTCCCGCAACAAGCTCGCAAACATGGGTTGTGCTATATCGTGTAAATGGAAAATGAAAAACGGTCTGATCAGCTGCCCGGTAGCGGAGTGAGTAGCATGCTTGCGTTCTGCTCATGAAGTCCCGGGTTCGATCCCCATTTGAGTTGATGTATTCGCACTACTGATGAGACCCAACCAGGTCGAAACAGCCATCTAGTGCTTTCTAGCCTTTCAGTGCATGCTTCATTGGCTATATACACGACAAATTCCCATTTGAAATCTCATCAAATCCTCCATTACTTACATGAGATACATATCTGTCCGAATGACTCGTTACTTGGCATCTCAGGCCTGCTATGGAACGATGTCTTGGTGACCAGTAGGAAGACAGAATCTCCTTGATTTGTGGCTAATGCGTAAATACCTCGAATCTGTTGACCAGTTTTGAATGTCATATTTGGATTGTTGTATGGAGTAATTGGCACGTGTATAAACATATACAAGAGGTGCTAGCCAGACATTTGTCTCGTCTTATCAGGGTGACATTTCCGGTTGGATGCTAACCTGCTTCGCTCGGGAACCGTGTGGTATATTGTACAAACACAAACAGACAACAACATAGGCTTCAGTCTAGTTTGCTCAATAACACTCTGATTGTATAGTGATCAAAATCTCATCCACCGATTCGTTTGTCTGTTACAGGCCGCGGTCCAACAGAAAGTGGAAAAAGCCGATATTCTGGGCATTTGTTACACCGTTTTGGAAGGTATAGCAAAACTGGCGAACGAACGACCAGGTAAGCAATATTTTCATATGCCACGTGCACATGCATATTTCCCACTGGGCTGGAGATGATTTATGTGTATTGTGGTAGATCTTCTTAGGTGTTCTGATTAATGGAATCAAGCTGGTTCTTTTCATTCAATAAAGTTTTATCCTTGTGATACGAAAGATTCAGCGTATTTATCGGTCCACGTCACCCCTTTTTATCATAACAGAATTACGTTCGCAACTCCACGGACTACGATCCTATTTGCAAGAACACCATGCACAAACCACAACAGTCAGATCTGTGGATGAACATTCTCAGAGTAGCGCGTGTTCCGAGGAAGTGGAACACCTTCTCGGAGTGGATTCACCTCTGATCGTTGATACCGCATACGAGGATAAAGAAAATAGACCCGTTAAATCGCCATCGAACGTGGGCAAAACTTCGGCCAGTCAGTTCGACCCACATCCGACTTCCTCCAAGTGGCACTCAACCCCATCCAATCAGTGGGCTGCATCGGCCACCTGTCAAGACAGTGGCTACTCAAGCTCAATCGGACCGGGAAGCAGTACATCCGCAGTGAAATTGGCCAGGGTTCGAAGTCCGTCGGTCATGCAAGAGTGGCCTAAGTCGATCGAACTACTCAGCGCGAGTGAATCACCAATCCGATTGGGCAAACGATCAGCGTTCCGAGTAATCAAACGTGACGGGGAACGAGAAGGAGCCGCCGCTGCGTCCACAGTATGGCGACCTTACTTGGATGATTGAATTCACACTTCACCGTTTTACCAGACCTGCACATGGAAGAGGAACAGGCGCCATACTGATCAACTGCAATACCTTGTACATACCCCCCCCCTCCATTCACATCAGAAACAGATACCCACAAAAGGGATATAAATATCATGCTTTTACTTACTTTAATGGAGCTCCGTTATTTCATCTCGAGATTACAACTGGGTGTTAATCACATTCTCCCGGGCTGTATTCATTTATAATTAGGTTTACAGTTCATTTCGGAGTTGGTTGGATTACGGACGCGGATTGTGGGTTGTTTGTGATCGTGAAATTGTGAACTTGATCGTTTAAACTCAAATTACATAATCCGTCCGCATGGGTAGGGCGAGAGGAGAGAAGTGCATGGTGTTTCGCTTAACTTCAGACCGTATACGTGTGTCATACATTCACATTATCGATTGCGTTCGTATACGGTACATTCGTTTGCTTCGAAGATGATCGGTTCCCCCGCATCAAGATTGTGTTATTTTTTTCTGTCGACATGTAGCAATTACACTAGGGATCAGAAAAGAGTGAAAGGGGATAGTACAAACGGCTCATTAGAGTCTTTTATGACCTCTCCAACTGTGAACGAATATGGAATGTGGTATACCAGAGATCGTACTAAGTTCATTATCCCAATTAGGGTGACCAAATGAATTACTGAAGTACGGAATTGGTTGTATTTGTAATTCGTTTTGAAAGACAAATAGAAGTTCACCACAAATGGATAAATCACTGGATTGATTAATGTTCACAAAATCGACGGAATGACCAACCGTTAGTA